AATTTTTTTTTCTTTCTTGTTGGCTTGGGTTTCTCCCCCCTTCTTTTCGTTTTTATTTTGCACGGGCTTCTCCTTTTGTGTGTAAAGGGCTGATTTGGCATGACGTGCTTTCCCTTTGTTTGTTTTTTGTGCAGGTACACGCATTTTGGGCATAGGTAGGTGCTGGAAACCCTTGACATTTTGCTGCTGGAACCTTCAAACTCTTCAGTCTTCTAACTTAGACTTTGGCAATAACTCTGCTAACTCTGAGTATTTTAGAATAGGTGTAGACTGATGCTTGGCCTAGGCTCTCTTTTTTTTCTTTTCTTGAGAACACATGCTTGATCGATTATGGAATTCTGCGTGTGTTGCCTGTGGAGGAAAATAATTGACAGAGTGCATGTTTTGTACTGCCTGGCTGAATTTTTTTATTTTTTATTTTTATTCTGAGAAGGGACTTGCTTGTCCTGCTTGTTGATCACAAAGCGAGACTCTTACTTGTCATGAGCTTGAATTTTAAATTGCATGTTTGCTTGGATAAACTCAACTAGCCACGTATTTTACGTGTGCTGATTCTATTTTGCTTCTTTCCATATTTCTATGCGCAGGTACCCATTATGGCATCCGGTAATCCACCATTTATCATAAGGGATCATCTTTACTCCGTAGATGACAGGTTGAAGAGAGGGAGACCTCCTCCTTTGCTCAAGGGTGCCGACGAGGATGTAATCATTGATGAAGAACCAGCGCCAGAAGCTACTTCAGTGATTGATCCTGCATCCGTATCAAGGTGCTGCATAGAAAGGGGTCTGTTTCCGGCAGTTCCTTTGTTCTTTCAATATCCCTGCAGCATCAGCAAGGGTTGGTCGGAGTGGGTTGATGCTGAACTGAAGAGCCCATCTACCCGTGATATCCTAAGCCGGGCAGGCGTGTTGGAAGCCATCTTTGCTTCTAAGGCTTGCGACATCCATATTGAAGCCAAGACGCTTCGACACTTGGTTAGACGGTGGAGCACTGAGACGCACACTTTTATTTGTTCGTGGGGAGAGTTCACTCCCACGCTTGAGGATGTAGCTAATATTTTCCATCTCCCACTTTGCGGCAGCCAAGACCCTTTCCATATTGCATTAACCCCGGAAGATGGGCTAAAGCTTGAAACTTTGCGGAAGGGTGCTCCGACCTCTCCTAGTACCTCTCTGAGATTCAGTAATTGGATTCAGTTTTTCGGGAACAGTGATCGAGACGAGCCGTGTCGCCTTGCTGCGTTCGTGTCCTTGTGGCTCGGGAGGTTCCTCTTTTGTGATTTTTCTCAAGACTGCTTGCATGGGAGAGTGTTTCCGTTGGCTTTGGCAATAGCACGAGGTAGCATGATCCCTTTAGCCCCCATGTTCTTGGGGCACTTATATCGCTTGCTTGACCAGATTCAATTTCTTGAGAAGGGGGCGGCCGGAACCATGGCTGTGGAGACTTTTGTAAATTCCAGTTTTCTGCAGATCTTTTTATGGGAACGCTTCAGAGGGATAGAGGTATCTCCACTCCCTTATTCAAAGGCTGAGTCACTGGTTGCTTCGGACGAGGATTCCTACGTGCCGGGTAGTCTTCCTCTGATCTGTAGATGGTTCCGTCGCATGCAACGGAAGGGCCAAAATTTTTAGAGCTGCTGGACGATGTTGAGCAATTTATTTTTCGCCCCTATTGTGCCTCATCAGAGGGCTTTAGAAGTATGCCCTTCTATGCTGATTCTGCTGCTTTAATGGAGGCCCTGGCCACGCCAACACAAGGTTGTCGGTTACGCAGAGAGGCATTGTTGAGTGCCGCATGCCTCCCTCTGCCCACATTCGGTGATGACCACTTGGAGACTTCTGTGCATTATTCCCCTTACCGGGTTAGACGACAGCTTGGGTTTGACCAAGGTGTGCCCTCTTCTCCCAACCATGGAGATTCCTCGAGCTTGCACAGGGTTTTCTGGACTGGTGACAGCGTGCCGGGAGACGGCAGGCCTCTTGCCCTTGCTCTGGCCAGCCGGAAACGCGTTGGTGGTCTCTCAAAGGCCTACCAAAATTATTGGAACCGCTGCTTTGCCTCGTTCAGCCGATTCCATGCTGCCCATTGTGATAGCTTGATTCCCACCGTCATTCATCATGCCCGTTAGTGTCGGAAGAGAAAGCCATTTCCTTGAGCGAGAAGCGAAATCTGCCCTTTATCTCCAAGAGTGGAGAAATTGTTGGTGATTTTTCGAAGCTAAAGCGGAAGTTGGAAAAGTCGGGTTCTCATAGTGCCGGGAAGAGTGTTGCACATGGGAAACGGAAGCGTGAGGAAAGCTGCAGCGCCGAGAAAAGGCAAGCTGTGAAAGAACCGAAAAGGTTCATCCCCAAGGTAGCGGCAGGTGGTCCTCCCAGCTCAAGAAAGGTTGCCTTGCCCGAGTCCTTACAGCAGCAGCCTACAGCTTCCGGCAGCAGCGAGCTAGCAGCTCCCAAAGCTTCATCTCCTCACAGTAAGTATTGCTATTTGTTTGCTCCCTTTGTTCCCCGCTCTTTGCGTATATATAAGTATCCCTTTCATCTTATTTTGCAGGTACTTTCCCAAAGTAAAGGCAAGGGTAAGGGGTTTTCCGCGACCCCGAAACGTCGAAGCATGCGTATTCTTGAAACGCGGTTTGCTAATACCCGAAAGAATAAGGGTGAAGACTCGGGACCCAAAGTAGTGGTGACTGTTGATGATAACAGTGATGATGATAGTGATGGCGATGGCGCTGCGGGAACTAAGGCTAACATTCATGAGCAAGAGAGTGCTCACGATACGAGTGGCATGGACGAGGACTTTGATGAAGGCCAATACGATAGTCACGACGAAGACACCTATCCGGCTTTCGGCACTAGCTTGGGGGAGTTCGATGACCCAGATACGACTCCCGCTTTGACTGGCGATCATGGACAGCGTGTCGATATTGAACTGGTATCAAATATCCTTCTTGCTTGTTTTGCTTGGAATATTGACATTGCATGCTGCCCGTTGTGTCCTCTAGTTCATACTCCGTCTTTCTTCTGCAGGTCGTGCCCGCCATTGAAGGCACAATAGGTGCTTCATCAGAGGCTGATTTTGCCCTTCCCACTACTGTCGCTGAAGTTGTCCTGAGCCTTCCGGCAGTGCAACCTCCTCCTTCTCCTAACCCATGTACTCCTGACATGGCTGCTGATGCCTCTCCACTACTTCCAACAGTTCCTCCTCCTATTTCTCCAATTCCGAACGTACCTGCCATAGCTTCCGGCACTGCTCTACTTCTTCCAGCAGCACATCCCCTTACTCTCCCAATCTCGAGCACACCTGACATAGCTTCCGGCACCGTTCCACCTCTTCCAGCAGCACATCTCTGTGATAAGAATGTTGGTGCTTTTATCGCAGGTTCCTCAAAAGGGCCTTCATTCGAGAAAGGCATGTCTTGGCAAGATTGGGAGAATTCCTACACGGCATTCAAAGCCTTCTTTGATGGTGGTGTCACCATTCTTAGATCCATTGATGAACTTCTTCCGCTTTGCCACAGATTCGATGGTTATGCAACATTCCAAGGCGCCCTTGTGTATCCAGAGACGGTTGGAGCCTTGAAAAAGTTCATGGACAAATACGGGAGTTTGCTGGAAGCTACAGATGTCACCTCCTCTTTCTCAAGGGGTACTGCCCTTCGAGCGCTTGGCTTAGTACTTCATGGGATGGACACCATGCAACTTCTTGATATTACAGATCATAAACTGCTCTGTTGGCGAGATGCAATATGCGAGGCCATGATTCTGGGCTTTCCTGTGGAATTTCTCCTTAAACTCGTGAAGAGCTTAGCACGTGCCGTTTTTGGAGCACGGGCCATTCGTAGTATGCAATTATCGCATGATTCCGATGAAGTAAAAGCCGCTGCAATGCCTTGAATATTAAACAGCAAGAGTTTGAAAACCAGCGCCGGGAGATGCATGCCCTTCTTCTTGCTAAGGGAGTTTCTGTTGACAGCGCTGAGTGCGTGACGGAGGCAGCGGCCAGAATATCTCCTGGGGCTTCCTTTGTTCTTTTCGGACATTCCCCATAGCCTACAGGTACTCAGCTCATCCATTATATTTTTTTATTACGTATTCCAGCAGCAGCCATTTTTTTACACACATTTTCTTTTATCTTTTGCAGATTGCCCATCCTTGGCTTAGTGACCATTTAGCTTGGCTCGTGATCCTGCTTTTCTTCGTGACTTAAGGGCGCGTGAACCTTCAGCAGATGCAGCTTTATTTTGCTTTGTTTGTAGTGTTGTTTTTTTTTCTTTTGAGACTCTAACGACTACGTCGTTATGCCTTTGTAATTTTGATATTAAACTACCGAAGCTTGTATGAATTTCTGAATGCTTGAGGCATGTTGCATATTTCCGGTGTAGATATGTATATATACTGCTTTGTTGGCCAGAATTGTCTTTATGGACTGCTTGACATTTTGACAGGTTGGATATCATTGAAAACAGGGTATATGCTGTCAAATTTTTTTTTAGAAACCGAGTCTTCGAAAGCTTCTTTTGCATGGCTTATCTAGATTCTAAGCTTGACAAAATAGCTTCCCACCTTTCCCAAAGGGTCGATCCAACATGTGCATGATTTCTAGCCGAGCTTTATAAAGCTTCCAGGTGTTATATCGTATCGTTCCAGCATCTCAGAATTGCATGTTTCTATGCCTTATGCTATTATTATTTTTTTTTGCTTAAGCGTGATGCTTGGGACCCCATCTAAATGACTTTGCCCGGCATGTTTTACTGCTAAGTAGCATGTTTATATATATATATAGATATGGAAAATTTGATAAAGGGTTAATAATAGTAAGTTTTGGAGACACAATATATATTTTTCAAAATATTCCTTCATCTTCATTGCAAAAGCCCTTGCTACCATAATGGTGCATCATACAAAAGTGTCTTTTTTTCCAAAACGTGAAAATAAGACAGAAGGAGTCTTTTTTTTTGACAGAGAGAGAAATACAAAAGTACTAGGCATAAAGTTAACTTAGCAGTAATAGAGCTTGAGCCACTTCCCATTGACGGGGTCGGTCAGCGTGCCTTCCTTGACAGAGACCAAGCGATAATAGCCGCTGCTGTGAACCTCTTTGACTGCAAACGGGCCTTCCCATTGTGGCGCAAACTTGGAAGGTCCCGACACTTGTCTTCTCACATGCTCCGCAACTTTTAGCACGAGGTCTCCTTGCTTGAAGGCGCGAGGCTTGACTGTCCTGTTATAGGCTTGAGCTACGGTTCTGTGGTACAATGCTGTCTTCTTTTCGGCTACCGCTCTTTTTTCATCCAAGGCTTCAAGGTCCAGCAGGCGCCATTCCGAGCATGACTTTGTATCCCATTCGAGGTCGTTAACAGCTGCTGTTCTGGCAGTGGGGATGGTAATCTCTACTGGTGAAATGGCATCGGACCCGTACACGAGTGAATATGGCGAGAAACCTGTGGCACTTCTTGAAGAGGTGCGGTAGGCCCATAAAGCATCCGGCAGGTGAACACTCCAACCTCCTTCATACTCATAAACCATTTTGCTTAGGATCCTCAATAAAGTCTTGTTTGTGGCTTCCGCTTGACCATTTCCTTGTGGATAATAAGGCGTGGAGCGGCGATGCTTGATACCATAACCACTAAGTGTCGAGCTTACTTGCTTATTGACAAACGGGGTGCCATTGTCAGTGACAATCTTGTATGGGATCCCAAATCTGCATACAATATTTTCACGGATGAAATTGGCAACGGCAGCTCCCGTGGCCTTCCGCAAGGGAACCGCTTCTACCCACTTTGTGAAAATATTCGGTGGCCGTGAGGATCCATATGTAGCTGTCGGATGGTGGATGGATGGTCCCGATCAAATCAAGCCCCCAAGTATGGAAGGGCCAAGGGGTGCGCATGTCTTGCAGCAGCGTGGGAGGCTTATGGCTTAAATTGGCATGAACTTGACATGTGTGACACCTCTTCACAAAGTCGTATGCATCATTCTTCATTGTAGGCCAATAATACCCAACACTCAGCAGCTGCCGGTAAAGCTTCTTCATTCCTTGGTGTTCACCACATTCTCCAGCATGAATCTCTTGCATGACTTGCTGTGCCTCTGACTTTCCCAAGCATTTTAATGGCTCACCATTAAACCCCTTACGGTAAAGAGTTGACCCATCTATGAAGTATCTTTTCATTGTCCTTTTGAGCTTGCGTGCATGCTTGGGATTGGTTGGCAGGACTCCATTGACGAAGGATGCCAAGTATGGAGCCCTCCAATCCTCCGCAAATGAGACGGTGAACGATTCCTCGGTGGAAGGTATTTTTGCACACTTGGGACAATTGGCTTGTATTTCAGCTGCTTGTTTCCTCATTTCTGGCCAGTAATAACCCTTGCGCTGCAGGCGCCGGTACAAGCTGATTATTGGCTCCAAATTGCAAGTGACCTCATGTACCTCTTGAAGCTTCTCCTGTGCTTCTGTTATCCCTATGCAGCGGGTCAAAATACCTCCCGGAAGGCGTCTGTACAGTTCCCCAAAGATGATCACATAATCCTTCAATTCTTTGATGTTGCTTCCTTTGCCTATTTTTTCTTTCACAAGCTTCCTCCAGTCATCCTCTTCCAGCCGCTCCTCTTGAGCCATTGCTTCAACAACTGGTATGTCCTTCTTGATTACTGCAATATTGGGCTGTTCGTCAATAAATGAGAGCCTCGACCCCAAAGTGGCCAACGCATCAGCATATCTATTAGTGACTCCCGGGATATGTTCCAACACAACTTGTTTGAACGAACGAACAAGCCTTTCAGCAGCTGTACGATATGGTGCCAATGCTGGTTCCTTCACGGCGAAATTTCCTTGTAATTGACTCAGCACCAAGTTTGAATCCCCAATAATTTTAATTCTTTCGACACCCATTTCCCTTGCTGTAGACATCCCTGCAATAAAAGCTTCGTACTCTGCCGTATTATTCGTGCATGGGAAATTTAGCTTAAACGAGAGGGCCGTAGCTTGCCCCTCGGGATTGACAAGCACCACACCTGCCCCTCCACTCTTCGATGTAGAAGACCCATCGAAGTAGAGGGTCCATGGTTCTGCCTCTGTGACAACAGCAACCATTTCCGGCAGCTCCCCCAGAACTTCCTTAGAGATTGTTGATTCTTCAACTTCGGGAAATAGAGCCAACATGTCAATAACGGCCTGCCCTTTGATGGCTTTTGGAGTAGTGCAGGTGATATCGAACTCGGACAGCTGTAGCAACCAACGTGCAAGGCGTCCGGATAATATCGGCCTTGTAAGCAAATATCTTACGGGATCAGACTTCACCATGAGATGTAGCTTGTGAGCAAGGAAGTAATGTCGCAAGCGCTGTGCAGCATAGACAAGAGCAAGGCACAAAAGTTCAGTTTTCGGATATCTTACTTCAGATCCCCTTAGTTGCCTACTTACGTAATAAATAGGACTTTCTTCCCCACTATGATCATCTTGAGCAAGTAAGGCCCCAACCGCTGTGTTTGTTGCAGCCAAATAAAGCTTGAGAGGCAGCCCCGGAATAGGTGCTTTCATAGTGGGCAGCTTGGCGATTATTTGTTGCACCTTCTTGTAAGCTTCTTGGCACTTCTCACTCCATTCATACCTCTTGCCTTTCTTGAGCAATGGAGTAAAAGCACTCATGGTGGCAGCAAGGCCTGGGATAAAGCGCCGAATATACGATAATCTTCCCATAAAGCTTTTCAATTCTTTTGGGCTTTTAGGCGGTGCAAGAGAATTTATGGCTTTAGTCTTTTCTGGATCCACATCTATGCCACGCTGGTGTACTTGAAACCCCAAGAATTTACCAGATGAAACCCCGAACGCACACTTCTTTGGATTCATCTTCAAACTGTACAGCCGACACCTTTCCAGCACTCTCCTTAAAACTTCTTGATGGCCTTCTCTGGTTTTGGACTTCACCACAAGGTCATCCACATAATCTTCAACTTCTTTTCCCATCATGTCGTGAAACACCGCTGTCATAGCTCTTTGGTAGGTGGCGCCAGCATTTTTGAGGCCGAACGGCATGACCGTATAATAAAAATTCCCATACGGTGTTCGAAAGGCTGTCTTTTCAGCATCCTTGGGAGACATCTTGATCTGATTGTAGCCACTAAACCCATCCATGAATGACAACAAGCCTTGACCCGAGGTCGAATCAATTAAGATATCCATGTTTGGCAGCGGGAACTCATCCTTTGGGCAAGCTCGGTTGAGATCTCGATAATCCGTGCATATTCTGATCACACCGGTTTTCTTCTTCACAGGGACAATATTTGCTAGCCACGTAGGATGCTTGATTGGTTTAATAAATCCGGCAGCTAACAACTTTTCAATTTCTACCTTGATTTGCTTCTCAACTTCAGGATGAAAATTCCTTCTTGCCTGCACGACAGGTTTTGTACCAAGCTCAATATTCAGAGTATGACTTACTAAGCTTGGGTTCAGACCAGGCATTTCCTCATAGCTCCAAGCGAACACATCTCGAAATTCCTTTAGCAAAGATATCAAGGCCGCCCTCTCCTCATTTGTTAAATGAACACTTATGGAAATGGGCCTCGGGGCAGAGGGATCCTCACTCAAATCAATTGTTTCCAGCTGCTCAGCTACTGCTGACGATCCATCTTGCATGTGTCTGGGTGCTGCCATTGGCTCCTGGAAAGCACAAGGCAAGGGTGCCTTGTCGTTGGAACTCCCACAGCTATTTGTTTGCATTACTTTTCCTCCATACTCGGGGCTTTCCCGTAAGACACGGTCAAGCCCCCAACCCCGTCATAAGCGGTACACGATACGTCCATCGGGCAGCGTCACTTTTGAGCATTGGGGATGATCATAGGCATGGTTGTTGACTTCCGAGTGCCTCTTTCTCTCTCGATCGACAATGGTGATGAGCTCCTCATTGCTTAAATCACGAATTTCAGTCCATGAAGGAAGGTAGGTCCCGAAATCCTTGGATGGATTGCTTCCAGCACCTGTGCATTCAGTGTAGAACTCTGCTTCAGAGTAGTGAGCTTCATCTTTGTTGAAAGGTGCTTGGTTTCCAGGTATGCGTAGCGGCCTCAGCCCAATCCTTCCTTTTACGCATTGATGATAGGTAGAGACCACAAGCTTATGCTTGTTGAGCCATGGCCTTCCAAGCAAAGCATGGTAAGCCACATCCACATCCACAACATAGAACTTAGTAAGTGACCGAATTGGTCCAACCTTCAAATGTACTTGTAGATGCCCGACTGTGACCTCACTCTTATTCCCGAAACCACTGATGCTTGTTTGTGATTGGACAATTTTGGACAATGGGATACCAGCTGCCGTAAGCACAGACAGAGGTAATATGTTGACAGAGGAACCCGTGTCCACCAAAGCTCTCCTTATGAACACATCATTGATCTGTCCCTCCAAGTAAAGCGGCCTCCTATGGTCCGGGTATGGGACTTCCATGTCTTCGTCCGTAAAGACAATAGCGTTGTCATTTCCCAAGAATGACCTTTGTGGTTGAGTTGTAAAGCATTGAGAATTAGACTCCTCAGAGATATTCATCAGGGCTACAGCAGCTGCTTCTCTTGCTTGCGGCCCGAAGCCAAGTTGGTCAAAGAGTGATTTGAACTTTGGGTTTCTTTGAAGGACCTGTGAAGCTGTGGGCCCCTGTTTCATGCTTAAATAACGTTCCATCACACTTGTTTCAGCTTCCGTGATATTGTGAAATGTCACGGCAGCTGCTTCCTGCTGCTCCGATAAAGCCCCCGAGTAGCGTTCTTCCGGCATGTCCAAGACAAAAATTTCGCTGCCTGAGTTGTCACCCCATCCATCAGCGAGTGGCCATGGTGTGTTGTAACTTGAAGGCCTCGAATATTTACACCAATATGCCTTTTCCATGTTTCCGCAAGGTTCCCATACGGCTTCCGGCGGCTTTGGGTCATTCCTCCAAGGGTGGCACAATTCATTATCATCAAGCAAATCATCAGAACATGTAATGACAGCGGCTACCTCCTTTCCCCTTCGTTTTGGCAAGGGGTCTTCATCAATGGTTTGCTTCCTAGAGGGAAGTTCAAGGACTCCCTCATGTATTTTGGCGTGTAAAATCCTCCTCAAGCTCTGACAGGCAGTGGTTGGATGCCCCACAAATTGATGATAACGGCAGTACCTAGGATCATTCTTTTCCTCTCGAGTAGGAACCTTGTAGGGTCTGACAGGTTTGATTACGCCATCAGCAATCATTGTGTCAAGGATAGCATGAAATTCTTCATCTTTGCATGGTAGTGGTGGATACGTCTCTCTATCCTTGCGTTTGCGTGAATTGTAGTCGTGGATGGCTTGTCATCTATTGCTAATGTCTGATGCGCTTCCTTCTTCTCATTTCTCCAAGTCCTTTGTCCTGGTGGCCTGACGGACATGCTCGTCTTCCTCACAGCTTCCAGCAGCCGAGAAAATTGACTAATGCCAATATTCTCCAAATACACTCTATAATCTGCCACGATATTGCTGATGCAAATTTCAACAAGCGCCTCCTCGTCCTTCTCATCATAGCAATCTAATGCCAGGTCCCGGAACCTGCGTACAAAGTCCACGGGATCCTCACCATGCTTTTGGCGGGTGTTGTTGAGTTGAGTGGTGGTGACTCGTTCTTCATGCTGGAAATACTTCTTACAGAACCTGCTTGCCAGACTTTCCCAGGAATGAATAGAGCCTGGTGCCAACGTTGTATACCATGTGTAAGCACGATCGGTGAGACTCTTTGAAAATTCTCTAAGTCGAAGATTATGATCACCAGCATACGGTCCCAAGGCATCGATGAAGCGATTGACATGCTCCTTCGGGCTCCCCTTTCGTCCATCAAAGAGGACAAAGGTCGGTGCTTCATAGCCTTTAGGATATGGCTGCTGGAGTAAGCTTGATGGATACGGCGGCTGAGGAAGATACTTCCAATCTTCCTGACTTCGACTCAGCTCCTTTTCCAGCATGGCAACAACGTCCTCCTGAGTGACAAAAGATGGTCCCTTCTGCTCAGACTCCTTTCCGGCAGCAGCAGATTCCTCCTGTGGGTGCTTCTCGTTCACTTCACTTGGCTTTGGAGCCGAATTTTTGAGTTCTTTTATCATCTCTGCCATCTCCCTCTGGGTGTCACCCATAGCACGGATGGCTGCAACAAGATCTGTGAGGGTAAAAGTTCCCTCACTTGCACGTTCTTCTTCTCTAGAAGAGGCATGTTGCCTTGACTCTGAGTCAGCATGGCTTGGCCCATCCTGGGAAGTTATGTTGTTGCTTCTGGTCTTCTTTCTTGGAGGCATTGATGAAGGTAATGGCTTAATCCCCAGCAGAGTCGCCAATTTATGTAGGGGACTTTTTCTTCCTGCAGCTAACGGGCTGGGCTGCTGCAAAAGGTGGACTGAGGAGATTGCCCCTTTTCGTTTAGGTTCGAAAATTAAGCCCTCAAAATACCTCGAAAGGGCAGCGAAACCTTAGGAGATATTTTGATAATCTTCACCAATGAGAATAATAGTGACTTACAGATAATTTTGCATGCTTTCAGATGGTTTTTAGGCTCAGCATGAGTGGCATGAGGCATGGAGAGCAAAACCAACATGGGTTTAGCACTAAGAGAGAAATTAGGCTTGGTTTATGAGGAATGAAAGTGTTTAAGTAAGGAATGGGGTGTTTTGTGAGGAATTTTGGCTAGAAAAAGAGAAAGAGAGAGACAGGGTTCTTCCAGCAGCTACCAGAAGAACAAATTGGAGAAGAAGATGAACAGTGCACGAATCTAAGTTTTGCAAGATAGAGAGAAAAGCTTGCTCTCTGCAGGTTGTGAGTTGTGTTTGTTGGGTAGGGGAAGGCTTAATTTATAGCTGCCGGAAATCACCATTTTTCAAGAAACCCTAATGGCTCCTTCTTACTTTGGCTGAGATTTTCTTCCTTTCTCCTCCCCTTCTCTGACTTCCCTTTCTTGGCAAAGATGGCTTCTGTCTATCTTCATGAATTTAGGAGATTTTGGGGCTCAACATCCCTCTTTCCCGCGGCTACGCAGTGAGGGCTTCCACTCTTAGTTTGCTGTTTTTCTTCCTTTTCTTTCTTCTTCTTTGGCTGAATCTGATGAAGGAAAGGAGGTGCAAATGTATGCTGGTCCAAGGGATGCTTCTGACAGCATGCAGGATGGTATTCATCGGTTCTTTGGATGTCTCTGGCTTGGGACTGGTTTCCAGCAGCTTACTTAAGGAGCCTGCCATCTACTCCTTCACGTGTTCTCTGTTTTTCAAAAAAAGGCTGAAGCTCTTGTGGGCCTTTTTGGGTTTTTCTAAGGGCCAAGATGGCTTTCTTAAGCGAATGGGCTTATTGGGCTTGATTTGGGTTTATTATTATTTTTGGTTGGGTTATCTCTTGGCTAGGTTATTTTGCTTGGGCTTTTGGGCTATTTTTTCTCTCTTGTGCCTACCCACATGTTTGGGCCTAAGAAATGGGCCTGAGTCTCGAGGCTCCCAAGCAACCCGAGACTTTCCATTTCTTGGTCCATCAATGGGCCTCATGTTGATTTATCACCATCCATGCCACAACCCACTCAAGCAAGCCCCGGGTCTTTTTTGAGTGGCTTGGGCCCACCTAGGCTTGTAGCGTGGTTGGGTGCGAGATAACGGCATGGCATGTTGCTCGGCATATTTTACCTTATCGCCCTTGGGAAGGATTGTTTTAATTTTTTAGCATGATTATATTTTATCATAGCATGATAATTTGTTTATTTAGCGTGGCGTGTGGGTTATAACTTGCATGCGATAGATCCCTTTTTTCTTTTCCCTTATGGAATATTGTATTGGGCTGATAATTGTTCGGGCCCAATCCATGGATTTTTGGGCCTCAACAGTGTGTAAGGAATAAAAGCTGCCAAAATTTATCTTGAGAAAATGATTATTTCGAAAAACCCATTTTCATACTTGGTCAACATTTTTACATTAAAAAAAAAATTTCATGTATGATATGAATGCATGAAAGGACCTAAGGTCAATCTAGGTCCACAAAAAAATTTAGCCTTTCAAAATTGCACATACGCTAAAAAAATCTTGAATCAGTCAGTGCTACCACACCAATAGTCATTGTCAAAGGTCTTCCACATTTGTATTTGGTGTTAAAGTTTGTCCCAAACATCAATTTTAATCCTTTTCCATTAATGCATCTCCAAAAGAGAAGCATTTTTAAATAAAATTCACAATTTCGTGAATAATATGGCTCTAATTCCATTTTATTTTCTTTTGTTTACAACTAGCATGATTTATATGATTTAATATATTTTTATTTCTAGGAAAACTATAGAAACTGTTAGTACCAAAAAAAATTATCATTAAATTTTAAGCTAATAACTTTAGTTATCCCACCTATTAAAAGATTCCTGATTCCGCCTTTGTGTGTATGTAGTAACAATGATATGAATGCCTCTAAATTCTAAGTACGTATGTGACTGTACTTTTTCATGCACACTTTAAGCGTGATTATGGAATGAGAGTGATGGGTTTCTTTATCAAGTATTTGATTTGGTAGATGATGTATGAAGATTTTATGGATTCATATCCTGCCAATAACTATAAGATTAATTTTATCAATCTAATATTATTGCTTGCCAATAACAGTAATATTCATACGGGGGTCGCTGTTGTACCACTAATAATGTTGATACCTAATAATTGATATGGAAGATCTTAATTAAAAGACTCCAATATTACTTGCAGGGGGCCAGGGGCAGAGTTAAAAGATGTTTCGTCCAGGGGCCAGGGGCAGAATTTCATTAAAAAAAGTAGGAATTATAAAGTTCAGACAAGACTACACAATCATGTCATCGTTTTTTGGTAAAAAGTGGTTCTTAAAATATAAATTCAGAATTAAATACGTTATTATATCACTGTGATATAAATGAATTCAAGTAGCCAGTGCAGGCCAAACAAGCAAACACTAAAAACATGCACATGCATATGAGGCATGTGGGATCAAAACAGCTAGCTATTCTTCTTTTCTTTTTCGTTTTTCAATTAGCTTTCGCTATAAGTCAATCAGTGTGCGATGGTCTCTTGTTACTCCACATACGATATTTATGAAAGATATTTGAAATTTTTCTTGCAGAACTGGGAAAGCACTATATCGGATGAATGATTTGTATTAACACATCTGCCACACGCTTTCTCGAGTTTGACCATGTAAGTTCTTTGTGTCATTAACCCTTAATCAATTGTATATAGCTAAATACAAAACATGTTAAAATCGATTATCACTTTATTAGACAATATTTGGTTGCTAAGCATTTGGTCATTGTCTAAATGTCATGACACGAGCAAAACCGAAGATTATTGGAGGAAATTGCTCTCAATCACACGTAAGAAAAAGGATCTATTCCTAATCGCACATTGAATAGAACAGACGGCATCATTTCAAGCAGGTTCCAAAAGAATTCACCTCGACCAGCTCCATAGAGAAATTTGTCTGAGCATTGGCCAAATACTTACGAACCCAAGTAAGACCATATAAGGGAATGACTGCATAAACATTCCAAGACCTTGTTGTTGATGGACTACGTAACCCGATCACATACAAACCTCTTGAGAATAAAACACACACACCACGAAGAGAGTAAGAAAACACACAAGAACGAAAAGATTTATAATGTTCGACCTCGTGCCTACATCTTCTTGGTGATCCACCCAAGAAATTCACTAGTATGTAAGAACAATTTTCGTTACAATCAAGAACCACCTTAGCTCTCACAAGAACCCTAACTCTCTTTTCTCTCACCCTTTCTCAAACCCTTTGATTCCTTTATGGACACCCAAGAATTCCCTCTTAAATTCTCTTGTTATTGTCTCTTCTAAATTCCCCGACCTCTCTTTGGCTCAGTTAACATAACCCCAAAAGTCCTTTTATAATGCATAGGACTTGGGTTAAAAGTTAACTAGGAATAGGAAACTAAAATCCTATTTAATTAGGTTAAGGAACCCAAATAAAATAGGAAAGCCACATCAAAACTGTCGGAAAAAAAACCACATTCAGCATGCGAACAAAATAAGGACGAAGCGATCAATCACTTGGAACACAGCATCTTCGCGACCCACTAGAAGAAACTGATTGTTCGCATGGCCATTGCGATCGATCGCCTCCTGCGTAAACTTCCCTGCTGCCGCTGATTTCCTCTTCTTCCAGCATCATGGTCAGCCAATCTTCAACAGTAGGGTCAATGTTCACATTAAAGACGTCCAGCCAATCTCGAGCTCATAGGCCACTATAGTCGTTGATCGAGTACCGGCCCAAGAAACACACTCATTAAAGCCATTAACTATCCCACGACACATAGTTGACCTGATGAGTGGGATAACTGGTCTTAACAAAACCTAGAAAAACCTTCTAGTATATGTTACCATGACTCGTACTTGTGACACTTAATCTCCAAACATAGAGATTGACAAACCTCTTATGTTGACAATCAAGAACAGAATCATGGGATGCACATGAATAAGGATTGCATAGGTCTAGGCTATATGATGTAGAACAGATGGCAGATTTTATCGCGGTTGAGCAAGAAAAGGGACGTGGTGGGAATTTGCAGAATTGTCGTCCGAGCTCCGATTTGGCATTCTGGAGTCGTTTGGCCTTTCAAAACTGTATTCAAAGTTCGAAGTTAATTCCAAATAAATTCTGTTTTTCCGTTTCGGAGTTACATAGTTAATTCCCAAAATAAATTCTGTTTTTTTTTCAGTTTCGGAGTTACGTAGTTAAGTCTCCGAATTAATTCTGTTTTTCAGTTTATTGTAATAACTCCCCTAGCAGTTACAAGGGTTGAGAGTTGTGTATTTAGACGGGTTCGTCTAACGTTTTTCGGAAGTTCAGATTTTAATCAAATTAATCAAAGAGAGTTTCTCTTAATTTCTGGTGGATTCCAGTTTCCTTGTTACTCAAGGTTTTCGTTTGAAACCTTATTTGCTTGTGCTGCGTCACTATAGTACTTGGAAAAACATGGGACCTATCATTCCAGACCCTGATAGACATGTTGTTGAAGAATGGAGGAACTAAGGGGAGCCTCGTCTTCTGGAGGTCCGCGTCTTGAACCTCGTGCAATCTAACTTTGGTGAGACAACAAACTGATCGATATACACAAGCATTTGAAGTCGATACAGATGAAACTATCTCTCTATAATAACACCTCATAAAAATAACATTCTCTTGGGATGATAGATCCTGGGCTGGGCTCTCTCGATTTTGGGCTCTTGATTCCAATTTAAATGGAAAAGTCCAAACTGCTTGGATTCTGAGATTGCTTTGTCGTTCTGGGCCTCCAGCGCTAGGTTGGGTGTGTAGAATTTTGGCCCAAACACGTGCAATCTAACTTTGGCGAGACAACACAAACTGATTGATATACACAAGCATTTGAAGTCGATACAAATGAAACTATCTCTCCGTAATAGCACCTCATGAAATGCCTCCTTGACCAGATAAAATTAATACAAATTCATCAATAACATTAATAACTAGGCAAAAAGTTACTTTGGGTCTATGTGGTTTACCACTTTTACCACGAAAGTTCTTGTTGTTTCAAGTTGATCGTTATTACTCTTGTGGCTTTGAATTTAAGCAATTCAAGAAAAATCTCCAATTTATGTCAAACTCGAGTAACTACCGTTACTTGTCAAGGAGAATTTCGGTACCAAAAAAAAATGCTAGAAATAGAAGAAAGGGAGAGGCATTTCCCTCCCCATTCCCACCTTCCAACCAAGTTGCCTAGCCACCCCTCTCATCACGACCACCACCAACCCTCCCCCACTACAATTAAAATTAGGGAGATTCACTATTATATCTAATATAGGAGTCCAAATTATAAAAACACTCTATATGAAATGGACTTTAGAAATACACCCAAAGCCCATTTACAATATAACAAAAAGATTTTTAACTTCTTTTAAATTACAAAACTGATATTGATTTCTTAAAACAAACCCAACCCCAAAACCTCATAAAAAAGCCCAAAACACCCAATAGAGCATCAAAATAATTTAATAATCAAAATTCAATTCAATAGGGTCAGCTGTCATTTTGTGGGTGTTTTTTGGGTTTGTTTATAGAAATTAAATGGTATAGGATTTATCTATATTATTAGTGCTAAGAATGGATTTACGACTAAATATCTCTTAAAGTTATTGAACAACAACCGTTGCAAAATATTACAACCTTCCATAACATTAGAGAATCCAAAATTTGCCATGATACAAACTTGGAATTTGCCAAACCCATGAAAATCCCCCAAAACTAATATTTGTTGTACTGTGTTATGAACCAAGTGTAAGTTCTTTCTTGTCTTTGAATCTTAAATACTAACCTTGGTCTGACATGGTAGCTTAGGATTTGTATAGAAGCCTTCTTCACCTATGCAGTTCTTTATCTCTTATCACGGATGGGGTGAGATTGCTTTTGAGAGTGTTTAACTGCTAGGGAAGGGGCTGCTATTTATATGCATTAGGTTCAGGTATTTTGCCCATCGAAGAATACCTGATCCTATCCTGATTGCATTAGGAATAAGTGTTTCAATCCATATGTGATTAGGAATTCTCAAGGTTCTAGTTATCCAATTAGTATTGCACTTTAACTAGAACTGCAGATCTGCTCTAATCCTATTTCTTGACTAACACCAAAGCTGTAAACCCAATGTGATTAGAAGACCATCTATAAGTGGATTAAGACGATGCAATGTCTTACAGTCTCCCACTTGGTCAAATAATCACAACAGTCCATGGTGTAATCACTTTAAGGCCTTGTGAAACAAGATAGAGCAATTCCTACTAAGCCACTGTCAATTATGAAAAACTCCAGTGAATTATCGAAATTACTTGAACAAAACATTTCAAGATTCCTATAATTACGACTGAAATCCTTCAAAATCACATAAGGCTTCGATCAAGATTGAAACCAGAAATCTGCATGACTTAACTGTCTGTGCAAAACAAGTCATGCTTCATTCGTTGCCCCTTAATGACTACTAAGGTCTAATTGCAAAAAAGATTGCACAAATGTCATGAATATACTGTGTTATAGCAGTTACTTTATTTGCTAGCTATTACTGCTTTACATATACATTCAAGTATGAAATATGTCCAAACAGATTAATTAATTAAAACAAAACAAAACAACACTTTATAAATTCTCAAACTTCCAGATCATCCATCGAAACTTTTACTAATTAACCAAACATAACCACTGATCTTAAGACAAAACTGAAATGCTCCCACTGATCTAGCCACTCTTATCTTCCATTAATCCCATATTCTGAACATGTCTGTGAAAAGCTTCCTTTCTTCCTTAATTTGTCAGTTTTCCTTTTACACATTCAATGCATACTTCTTCTGTGTTATGATTCAATGGTGGTATGACTAATTCTTTGCATAGGATTTTAATTCTATCCTTTGAAACGTGACCAAGTCTTTTATGCCATAGAGTGTAGGAAGCTTCTTTATTTGTTTGAGTTTCAACAGAGTTAATTTCCATGATTGTTTTGCAACTTAATCGAAACATGCCATCAACAAGATTTGCTTTTCCAACTAATTCTTTATTTCTGAAAATAGAACAACCAAAATCTTCAAAGTTCAAAGTGAACTTTGACTTTACAAGCCTAGCAACTGAGATTAGGTTCTTCCTCATAGTAGGAACATAAACCACATCTTCTAATTCCAAAACAAAACCAAAAACTAATTCAATCCTAACTACTCCAATAAAATCAACTTGAACTTTCTCTCCATTGCCTACGAACACCTTCACTTCATCCTTGCTTGGCGGCCTCTTCCTTATGAACCCCTGCAAAGAATTAGTCACATGAATAGATGCTCCACTGTCTAACCACCATGAATCACAAGAAAAATCAACTAAATTTGATTCAAAACAAACTAGGATCTGATTAGTGTTACCTTTAGCCTTTTGTTTGTCCAACCACCTCTTGTACCTCCTACATTCTTTCTTCATATGTCCAGCTTTCTTGCAGAAGAAGCATTTGTTTCCAACTGGTTTGAGAGCACTTGAATTGTCCTTTTCTTTCTGTTTACTAGTTTCAGAGTTTTTGTTCCACTTATGCTGCTTTGCTTGAACCATATTTATCACCTTAGCTCCCCTTTCTCTTATCAGATTGTCCTCAATTTCGACACTTATAGTGATGAGATCATTAAGTGTCCAACTTTCTTTCTGGGCTATGTATGTATTTCGAAGGGATTTAAAATCCTTGGGCAGAGAGTTCAATGCAAAATGTACCATCATATCCTCATCTACTGTCATGTTCAGCTCTTGTAGTTTTGCCCCAATGTCAATCATGTTCATAATATGAGCTCTAACACACCCTTGCCCATCATACTTCATGTCAGTTAGTTTGTTCAGCAGTGAGCTCTTGGCAGATTTTTCAGAAACTTTGAACCTCTGAGCTATGAACTCATAATATTCCTTTGCACTTTCAGTCTTTGGAATGCTGCCTTTAACAGAAGATGCCATAGCCCTCTGCATGATTAACATGGTCATCCTGTTAGCCTTTTCCCATTTGACATATCGAGCCTTGATTTCTGCAGAAGCATTTGTGGCAGGTGCTTTGAGAGGAGTTTCTTTGAGAACATAGTCATAATCCAATAATCCTAAAGATATAGCCAGATCTTGTTTCCACTTGGAGTAGTTTGTTCCAGTCAAAGTTTCGATGGAATGATAGCTGGAGGAATTCACTGTAAATCACATTTAAATGAATAAAACTGTCCCCAAAAACTGTATTCAAACATTATCAATTCATATCTTTGGACCATGAATCAAACATGTTTTCAAAACACTAGATTATTATGGCTTAACACAACACCCTGCACAAGAAAACTTTAATCTTTGGATCAAAGCTTTCCCGTTTGTTTGTGTGAAACCTTTTATCCATGTTTTCCATCACAGTTAACATCAATTCATACTATTCCTGTCTTTGGATCGAGAAGAATATAAAAGGCTATGAACTGTGATGCAAATATTGATCAATCTGTTGATTTAAATTGTATCTGCAACAGTTTAGGCTGCTATGGCTCGCCTAACTTATGCAGCTGCAATTTAAATCTATGAACAATAATCTTTCAAGTATGATCGAGTATGATACTTTATACTCTAGATCATACTTTAACAAATAAGATATGCAATTTTACTCTACATGACTAATTGATCAGAAAATTTATACAGATTTTAAAACAATACAGATTCCTTTTGAAAGTTTAAAAATCAGCAAAACAGTTGTAGATTTAAGAACAAGACCTAGTGCTCTGATACCACATGTAAGTTCTTTCTTGTCTTTGAATCTTAAATACTAACCTTGGTCTGACATGGTAGCTTAGGATTTGTATAGAAGCCTTCTTCACCTATGCAGTTCTTTATCTCTTTCACGGATGGGGTGAGATTGCTTTTGAGAGTGTTTAACTGCTAGGGAAGGGGCTGCTATTTATATGCATTAGGTTCAGGTATTTTGCCCATCGAAGAATACCTGATCCTATCCTGATTGCATTAGGAATAAGTGTTTCAATCCATATGTGATTAGGAATTCTCAAGGTTCTAGTTATCCAATTAGTATTGCACTTTAACTAGAACTGCAGATCTGCTCTAATCCTATTTCTTGACTAACACCAAAGCTGTAAACCCAATGTGATTAGAAGACCATCTATAAGTGGATTAAGATGATGCAATGTCTTACACCAAGAACTGAGATTTATAAAAAATAAAAAGGAAAAAATAATTTACCAAACAAATAAAATTCGCCAAGCAAGTGAAATTTCCCCCAACAAATCAATAGAAATAGAAATTGGGTGGTTGTTGTTTCTCTATAACTTTTTATGAGAAAATTGCATAACGAAAAGAAAATTAAGAAAAAAAGGAAAGTTTAGAGAGGGAATGATAAGAGAGAAGAAAATGGAGATGTGAAGGTTGTCGGGGGGTAGGGATCTAATAGTAAGTTCCCATTGAGCTTCTGGAAGGGTGGTTGTGGCATCTACTTTGGGCTGGCGTGGGGGAAGGGACTGGGTATGGTGAGTAGATATCGAGGAGGGGTGGGGGGCACTACAGGACATCGGCGAGGATATACATGGTTTGGATGAGGGAATTGGGGGATCGGTGTCGGGTGTTACAGTCGCGGATGGGGCATGAGAGAGAGAGATGGTAGTGGTAGATTTGTATTGGGTTGGGGACATAGGGTCGAATGTTGTGGTTGGCGTGTGGGCTGGCGGGGGTGGTGGTGCTGAGGGTTTCTCTCTCCCTTCTCTTTCCTTCCTTTTTCTTTTTCTTTTTTGTTTTGGACTGAAATGCTCCTCAACAAGTAACCACAGTTACTCTAAAAGCATCTCCAGGAGAGTCTCCAAATTTTAGCCAAATTCTAGATAAAATAGTTAGAAAGCTATTATAGCAAATCACTTAAAAGGTGTTTCCTTCAGCAATGTTCTCTATTTTGGTTAATCTGAAATATTTTATTATTATTTTCTTTTGCTTTTTCTCCCTCTCTCTTGCAAATCAATTATATTAAAAAGAAAAGTAGAAACCTAACCCCACCAACCTCCCAAATGTCCCTATCTCTCTCCCCTTTTTTCTATCTCTTTCTCTTTCTCTTCTATTTGGCGAACCTCCATTTCACCCTCCTCCTTGCTAGATGTAGAGAGCCAAAAGTTGGTTCTCCAAAATAGAGAGCCAAGTAGGGAGTCTGCTGGAAGGAGGATTTTCCTTCTTGTTAGCGAAAGTAGCTAGGGATGAGAGGATAGGGAGTCTGTTGGAGATGCTCTAATTTGATAAAAATTGGAGAATGTCCTTAAATTGCATCATGGGCGAAAATGCTCAAATTGAAACCCCAAGACTTTAGTAGTAAAACTGATAAACCACATAGATCAAAAGTGAGGTTTTGCCTAATATGGAAAAGGAGTTCCTGAAATCTGAGTAGTTGCCAAATGACAAAGAGAGAACTAGATAGTTATTAGAAGAGGTCGTGTTGATTACTGGTTCCAAGCAAAGAGACAAAAGTCCCCACATAACAAGAATTAACTGCATCATTTTCCACAGAATTTCCAGAGCAGCTCACAAATTGACAAACTTTTATTTAATACAATACCAAATAAACTAGGTAACATTAATTTCCCTGAACAATATTACAATACACTACATGCTGCCAACATAATATATTAAGCAGGTGTGCTTCATTATAAATCAAGGATAAACCTCAATGAGAGACCTTAAACCCAAACAGGGAGTAATCTTATAGTGGCTGAAACCTGCGTCAGAAAAGAGCTTAGCCCATTCTTTCTCATTCCTTTCTTTTCCTTTAAGCAAGACCATCATCAGCATATCGAAGAAAAGTTGTGTTTCCCCAGCTTCCTTATCTGTATTCTTGTTCTCCACCGTCATATCTACAATAATCACCTTGCCTTTCTTGCCCTCCCTTGTAATTGCCTCTTTACATCGCTTAAGTATTTTCACGCATTCTTCATCACTCCAGTCATGCAATATCCACTGTTTGTCATACACAATCACCAAACAAAATCATAAATGGAAATCTGTATTTAACAATAAAATATCACTAAGGATGAGATTATTTACCTTCAAAAAAATAGCATCGGCCTCAGGAACAGCCTCAAACATGTCCCCTGCAACATATTCCAAGTTCTTACTCCCTTTTAGGTCAGCAACTACATGAGGGAGATCAAGTACAGTGCATTTCATATGAGGGAAGGCATCAGCAATGGACTTGGCCACGGTTCCCGTCCCACCGCCCACGTCAACCAACGAATCCACTCCTTGAAACACCCCCTTGCAGTCATCAATCATCAAGCTCGAGCATCGCTAGCCATGGCGTCATTGAAAAATGTGCAAAAGTCGGGTCCTGGTTCCCATAATCCCAAAATGTCATCCCATGCACCACGTGAAACGGCGTAGGATTGTCATTTTGGAACCAAGTGGTCAAATACTGCCATGGATCGGTTAACATGGGATTGAGCATGGCAAGTAAGAAGGGCCTTGCACTCATGGGATTGTCTTTCAGGAGGAGTGCGGAGGCGTCTGTTAGTACATAACCTTGTTCGCCACCACCACTCAGACTTTCTCTGGCAAAGAAGCCAGAGTGGACTAAGATTCGCATAAGGCGTGGGATGAAATGTGCTTTTGTTGGGGAAATTGGTAGGGCGGAGACAAGCTCGGAAAGAATCATGGGTTGGCCATGTTTTTGGATGACATCTGGGATATCTAATTGAACTGCACATTTGAGGGACATAGAATTTATGAAGCTGAAAATGTGGTTCCAAATGTGGGCTTGTGCTTGGAGTAGCTCATGACTTGCTCGCACTTCACTACCCATGCCTTGCTATTGGCTCAAGATTTGGTGAGAATTAAGATTGATGCACATCTCTTTATATAAGTCTGTGGTGTGGGGGGGAGCTAGAGGAGCTTAATGCCTTAAAGGAGAGAGGGAAATATTTGGAAATTGGGATACCCATGTTTTCCATGTGAACAAACTAATCCACGTGCTAGACATGTTAATTGGCTCTTGTATTTGATGGTGGACTCTAGGGGTGGGCACGGTAGGGTATTGAGCTCGTACTGCTACCGATACCGGAAATTAAAACCGGTATGGTACGGTATGAGATTATCGTTTGTCAAAGTTGGTATCGTACCGTACCGTACCAAATCGATATCGGTACGTACAGTATCGGTACCATTTCAGTACCAAAATAACACAACTAAAAAATGCAAGACAGAATGAATAAGACAATAAAAATAGCTACTAAATTTCATAATTCATTCATATGATATGCCCTTTTATCTAAAGCTTCAGACTGAAGCTTGAAGACAAAACACTACTTTTTTCATCATAATGTTGGCTACCCAGATTAAATTACCACATTTTCTTATGATTATCTGAGAAAATTTGACATGGGGAAATGGGGAAAACAAAAATTGAGGAAATGAAATTTATATTAATTAAGCCATGAAAATGAACTTGCATATATGATTATCCGAGAAAATTTGACAGAAGATGCAAAAAAAAAATTACAATTCATAGACATTGATTAAAGAAAGTAAACAACAGCTACCCAAATCCCCAGCAACCTCAAGAAATTCTTCTTTTTTATATGTACAAATTTGCAAAACGGACTTTGGAAAATCTCATTCCTTCCTTCACAATTCATCACAACAACTATATGTTTCTATTTGAACATGTTTATATTTTGGTACGGTACGGTATTGACCGGTACCAAATACTTGATACTGCTACCATACCATACTCTATTGGTACGCACTACTACAAAAATCGAAATAGACGACGGGAAACCACCGTCGTGTAAAAGGTTTTCGCCCGGTCGTGAAATCGACTGCCGTCTATTTGGGTTTCAAACTACGACGGCTTTTCACCGTCGTTGTTTATCAGTAAAGATGACGGTTTTTAAAGAAAATCGTCGTTGTTTAGAGGTAAAGATCGTTAATTATAGAAGGAAAGACGACTGTTTTTAATAAAACCGTCGTGTATTGTATGTAAAGATGACGATTTTTTTATGAAAACCGTCGTGGATTGTTTATAAAGACGTCATCTTTACATACAATAGACGACATTTTTTTATAAAAAGCGTCATCTTTACATACAATAGACGACGGTTTTTTATAAAAAACGTCATCTTTACATACAATAGACGACGGTTTTTTATAAAAAGCGTCATCTTTACGTACAATAGACGACGGTTTTTTTATAAAAAGCGTCATCTTTACGTACAATAGACGACGGTTTTTTTATAAAAAGCGTCATCTTTACGTACAATAGACGACGGTTTTTTTATAAAAAGCGTCATCTTTACGTATAATAGACGACGGTTTTATAAAAAGCGTCATCTTTACATACAATAGACGACGGTTTTTATAAAAAGCGTCCTCTTTACATACAATAGACGACGGTTTTTATAAAAAAACGTCATCTTTACGTACAATAATGCTTTTTGATTTCCTATGATGCTATACAACGATTTTAACTAGAAAACCAACCATAATGCTTTATCAAAAATAGTTTCTTTCATAAAACTTGAAGATTCAATAGTTATTACATAGTTAACCAATCTTTATTCTACAACAAACATAATTCCTAACAAGACCTACGTACTCCTAATCCAAGCATTCCTCATCCAAACATACAAATGATGCACAACTGAAGTCTCCTCCATCATCCCTGTAAATAAATCAAAATGACAAAGAGAGAAAAAAAGAAGAAGCTAAGATTATAAACATAAAAAATTAGGTGGAAGAGAAATTTTACCATTGGTCCATATTTCCATAGAAAACTTGTAAAATGAGCATAAAAAAGACCATCGAGAACCTGCAAATTTTCAACAACAAAAAAACATACGACTCACATAGAAAACCTGCAAAAGAAAAAGTTTTAAATCTGCAAGCTTCCTCCTCATCTCCTGATAACCAAATCAGAAAATCTAAAAAGAAACCAGAAATTAAAAAAAAATGTAAACAAATCAGACAAATCAAGAGAGACAAAATCTGAAATTAGGGATACAAAGAACATACCAAAAACGCAAAGAGACTAATCCAGAATTCACTAGCAAGATATAGAAGGGTATTAAGAGATTAGGTGACTTTCAAATCAAACCTTTCAACCAGCTTTGATTCTCAAATACAGAACATCCCTCTACATCTTATGGATTTGCTAAGACCTCAATCTCTCAACTCCTTCATTGATATCGATCTTTTGATGATTTTGTAGAGAGTTTCATGAGGGTGTTTTAGAGAGTGCATGAGGGTTTCAAGGAGGGAGAGATAAGGTTTTCAGAGACGGGGGAAAATCTGAAAATTTGACAAGCGCGAATTCACTTAAGTAGACTTTTTTTAGCGTGTTTTAAAAGACGACGCTTGTTAATGAGAGATAAGATTTTCAAAGACGGGTGAAAATTTGAAAATTTATCGAGCGCGAATTCACTTAAGCGGCCATTTTTTAGCGTGTTTTAAAAGACGACGCTTTTTTTAAAAAAAAATTTGTCATCTTTACATATAATATACGACGGTTTTTATAAAAAGCGTCATCTTTACATACAATAGACGTTTTTTTCCACTACACTCCTTGACCCTATATGAATACAATGACTGAATTTGATCTTCAATTTAAAATATTTACACTAGTGGATACCACAAAATCTTATGTTATATTTAACGAAAGTATAAATAAACTCTTAATTGTTAGTGAATATTTTTTTTTATGGCATACGCATTTTAAGAAACTAGTTTCAACGATCCAACCATCAAACTTGTTTGTTTATACTTCGAGATCATCTACACCAAAAATCGAAAAAAATAAACATTCAGAGATAAAGTAACTAGACAAAAAATTTCGACGGTTATAAATGAAAAATCATGATTCAACGGTTATTTTAACTCCGATTTTGATGATTTTTTACCGCTACACTCCTTGACCCAATATGAATACAATGATTGAATTTGATCTTCAATTTAAAATATTTACACTAGTGGATACCACAAAATCTTATGTCATATTTAACGAAAGTATAAATAAACTCTTAATTGTTAGTGAATATATTGTTTTGATGGCATACGCATTCTAAGAAACTAGTTTCAATGATCCAACCGTCAAACGTGTTTGTTTATACTTCGAGATCATATACGCCAAAAATCGGAAAAAATAAACATTCAGAGATCAAGTAACGAGACAAAAAATTTCGACGGTTATAAATGAAAAATCATGATTTAACGGTTATTTTAACTCTGATTTTGATGATTTTTTACCGCTACACTCCTTGACCCAATATGAATACAATGATTGAATTTGATCTTCAATTTAAAATATTTACACTAGTGGATACCACAAAATCTTATGTCATATTTAACGAAAGTATAAATAAACTCTTAATTGTTAGTGAATATATTGTTTTGATGGCATACGCATTCTAAGAAACTAGTTTCAACGATCCAACCGTCAAACTTGTTTGTTTATACTTCGAGATCATCTACACCAAAAATCGAAAAAAATAAACATTCAGAGATAAAGTAACGGGATAAAAAATTTCGACGGTTATAAATGAAAAATCATGATTTAACGGTTATTATAACAAACCATTATCTTTACATATAATAGACGACCATTTTTTATAAAAAGTGTCATCTTTATATATAATAGACGACCCTTTTTTAAAAAAAATATCGTCATCTTTACATATAATAGACGACGGTTTTTATAAAAAGCGTCATCTTTACATATAATAGACGACGGTTTTTTTATAAAAAGCGTCATCTTTACATATAATAGACAACGGTTTTTGCGGTTTTTATAAAAATCGTCATCTTTACATATAATAGACGACGGTTTTTTCGGTTTTTATAAAAAGCGTCATATTTACATATAATAGACGACAGTTTTATAAAATCGTCATCTTTACATATAATAGACGACAGTTTTTAAAAAAATCGTCATCTTTACACATAATAGACGACGGTTTTTATAAAAATCGTCGTCTTTACATATAATAGACGATGGTTTTTAATAAAAATCGTCGTCTTTACATATAATAGACGACGGTTTTATAAAATCGTCATCTTTACATATAATAGACAACGGTTTTTATAAAAATCGTCATCTTTACACATAATAGACGACGGTTTTTATAAAAATCGTCATATTTACATATAGTATGACGTATGATAACAAAATCAAATAAATAAATTGATAAAAAAAATTCGTATTAAGACGACGGTTTAAATATAAGGTATGACGTATAAAGGGAATAAATACGACGTTAAATTTTATAATACGTCGTTAAATGAAAAACAAACGTGGTGAGATTTAAAGATACCGTCGTAGAACTATACAAGAAAGACGTCGATATATTTTTATTTTCCGTCGTTGTACATTAATTTAATACGGTGATATTTTGTATTTTACCGCCGTGGATTTATTTGTAATTATATGGCGCCTTATACGAAAACTTGGTCGTGTTATTTTCTGCGTAAAAACGGCGGCTTTTTTTGAAATCGTCGTCTTTACTTTCTACATCGGTCGATTCATAACTTCTGCCGTTCTTTATTTGCTTTGATTTTACACAGCGGAAATCCTGTTTCAAATAGACGTCGGTTTTTTAATTAGGTACGTCGTTGTTTATGAACAACTATTTGAATCTCCATTTTTTAGGTGTCTAAGGTGTTATTACATGGCGGTTTTATAGAACCGTCGTCTTTTAAAAAACAACGACGGTTTTCACTTAGACCGTCGTTTTTTTCTGGTCGTCTTTGTCACTTTTTGTAGTAGTGACGGTACCAATTGTCTCCCCATCCCAAATGAAACGATATGAAATT